ACCCACTAGACCCCACTCCCCTCCCAGAGCCAGGGATGGAACCCAGGCGTCCTGGCTCCCAGCGTTGAGCTTAGACCATGTCAGTTCTTGAGTTGCCGGAGGTCTCCCATGGTGCCCGCGGGTGGGCTTGGATCTGCCCCCCCCCCCCCCGCTGTGCTGGCCTGGGCACCTCGCCCAGCCTAGGGCAGGGACATGCCCGGCCAGTTCCCCTTGGCTCTGTAATTAGCTGGGATTTAATTGGTGGGTGGCCCCACCTGTAATTACAGACCCTGAGCCCAGCTGCCACTGGGGGCCATGCGCGCAGCAGATGTTAGGGCTGGGAGCCAGGATGCCTGGGTTCTCTCTATGGCTCTGGGAGGGAAATGGGGTCTAGTGGTTAGAGCAGGGGGGCTGGGAGCCAGGACGCCTGGGTTCTCTCTACGGCTCTGGGAGGGAAATGGGGTCTAGTGGGTAGAGCGGGGGGTGGGCTGGGAGCCAGGACTCCTGGGTTCTCTCCCCAGCTCTGGGAGGGAAGTGGGGATACAAACCCCCATCAGATCCCCCGATCTCCCCTTCCCCCCTTTCCATGTACCCGTTAGGGATCAGATGGGCACTGGTTGAGGTCAAAAGAGAGCCTAGACGTGTCTCCATCCTCCTGGCCTTGCAGAGGGTCCTGCCCCCCAACAACCACCAGGGGGCTCTGGGCCAGCTGGACCGAACGGGGGCACCCACGGCCCTCGCTCTGGCACGGCCCCTTTCCTCTGTGTTGGCCCCAGAACGCCCGGCCCTGCTTGGGAATTAACTACTAGGGATCAGTTTCCCTGTCCTAGTGGTGCTGCGGGGAGAACCCAGGAGTCCGGGCTCCCTGCCCCTCCCCCGTTGATTCCCCACTCTCTCTCTCTGCCCCCCCCCCCAGACGTACTCAGGGCTGTTCTGTGTGGTCATCAACCCCTACAAGAACCTGCCCATCTACACGGAGCAGATTGTCGAGATGTATCGGGGCAAGAAGCGCCATGAGATGCCGCCCCACATCTACGCCATCTCGGAGGCCGCCTACCGCAGCATGCTGCAGGGTGTGTGTGTGTGTGTGTGTCGCCCCTGCTGGGGACTGGGCCCTGCTCTGTGTG